GTGTTGATTGTACCCCACTTTGACTATGGGGGTGTGTCAGAATGTGATGGTTGTCTAGCCTGCAGTGGGGTACTCTATAGCGAGTACAGCCCTTCTAGGGTTTGCTATATGTATTTCTATGCTTGTCAGTTAAAATCCTTCTTGCCTGTTTCTCGTTTTTGCCTAGCCTTTCGACATCACGAACCGAGGCAAGGCGGTCAGGGAGGCTAGTGGCGATGAAATAGATAGTAATCGCCATGGGGGGAGGGAGCAGTGCAAGCTGTGCGTCAGTGCAGGCAGCGCGGTAGCTAGAATCGAGCGAGTGCAAGAGAGCGATCAAGTCAGCAGAGCGCTCAAACGAGGCGAGGTCAGGGAGACAGTCTGTCGTACTTACTGATCACTCTGACTCTTCTTGCGCTGACGACGCCGAGACTCGCAGGTCTACTCAGGGGTGTTGTTTCAACCTGGGCTCTAGAGCTGTTTCGTGGAGGTCCACCCATTCCTCCTCGGTCTCGACCTCTACCGCTGAGGTTGAGATCTACGCTGGAGCCATGGCTGCACAGGAGCTGCGCTGGTTGACCTTCTTGCTCACTGACCTTGGTGAGTGGCCGAGCTCTGCACCGACCTTGTTCGCTGACAGACTCGCTTCGAGTTTGTGGAGTCCAAGGCCAACACTGCAGACATCTTCACCAAAGCCCTGCCGCCTTGTGACCACAAGAGGTGTTGTGTGCAGTTAGATCTCGTTAATACAGGTTTTTGTCTTACGTAGTCTTGAGTTCTCTGCTTGCTATGCTTGTACGCTTTACCTATACTTCCATGAACTTTTGGACTGGCCTTGTGGCTCTTTTGTTTGTGCTGAGACTGTGTGGTGACGTTGTGATAAATCTTGAGCTTTGTTTCTTTGTGACTTGACTTGTCACCATACGATTTTAATTTTGCTTGACAACTTTCACTTAGGCTATGGGGGTGTGTCAAATGTTATAGCCGTTAGTGATGTGTGTCATAGGGTTAGGGTTATATTTATGTACACCAACCAACCTCACTGAAACCATCATTTAGTTTTTGACAGTAAGCGCAGTGGTAAAGCGTTTCATTCGTTGATCCAAATGTAGTGAGCTTGATTCTCACCTGATGTCACCTTTCGGTTCGTTAGTCAAGAACATAAAGTTATTATGACATCTTGAATCACATATCGAGAATGAGTTGTTTAACACAACGGTTGATGTATCGCCTGTTGTACCAGAGATAAGAGGTACCGTATGGCCCCGGATATAAGCGCCGTCCGATTAAAGGCGCCGGCGCTTCTATCTGGAGCATGGCGCTTATAGAGGATCCTCGATTAGAAGCGCACCCCTTTTCAGGTCTGAACTTATTATAAGCGCATGTGCAAAGTCTGATATCTACTTATCATTCTAATTTCACAGAACATTACATTTTTTAAACAATTCCTAACAAGAGTTGTTTCACCCTATCAATTTCAAGGTTCATACACAACAGCCTACTCAGGTTGAACCAGCTACTCAGGTACTACAGCCTAGCTACCTACTCCTCCTCGTCAGACTCGGGCTCCTGGCAGTTGTTGCCAAAGAAGCCGTCAGCGATGATGTCGTCATCGACATCGACTTCACGAGTCAGCTGGCTTCGCCTGTGCGCCATGGCAAGCGAGTCCTCGCTGCCGTCAAGAGCGTTGCTGATGCCACAGGTGAGGAAGGCGCGCTTGATGAGGTCCGCGGGCACTGCCTTCCATGCCCGCGAGATCCACTTCACTACCACCGCAGGAGGCGGCTTCTTGAGGTTCCCTGCACCAACAGGCAGAGACACATCACTCTCATCAGTTTTAATAAACGGTTCACGAGAGCATGTCAAGGAACGACTGTAGTTCTTCTATGTAAGCTTACCTGCTGCTGTCAGTCGCTCTTGGCCTTCGTCTTCAAACCACTTCTGGTACTGCTGGCGGACGGAGGCCTTGAACGACTTGTTGATAGAGACGTCCAGCGGCTGAATCTCCGCCGTACAGCCTGCCGGGATCACCGCCGGCACGATGTTGAGCTCGGCGAACTTGTCCTTGACCCCTTGGGTGAGGTGACCGCGGTAGGAGTCGAGGACCACCATCGCGCTCCTCGCCTGCCTGCCGAATCGAGGCCTAAGAAACGGTTGGACGCACTCCTCCAGCCATCGGATGACGCCTTCGGCGTCCATCCACCCGTTCTCGTGGCAGGCGACGACGACATCTGCACAATGATACACAGGCAGGGTGGTTAGCGACGATTTAGTAAAGCAACGAATCAACCCATTTAAAGTGCAATTTCTTACCGGGCGGGAAATCTCCCTTCGGCACTGTCTTGCGCTTGAAAAAAACCCACGGTTTGAGTTTCTTCCTATCCGCCGTGCACGCCAGCATCACGGTGACGCGCTCCTTCTGGTATCCCGCACTCCGGATGGGCACCGACCGCACGCCTGTCTGTTCCACGGTGGTGGTGGCGGGCATCTCCAGCCACAGCGGCGTCTGGTCGGCGTTGATGATCCACGTAGTCTCGATGCCGCGCTCACGCCGCCTATCACGCACGTACTGCCAAAACTTGCGGCACATCTCCGCGACATCTGTAAAAAAACGAGGCAAATAAAGAAGATGCGTCAGTATACATGAACTGGAACGACCCACAGGCTTGATACACGGTTAAGACTTACGGGCTGCAGTTTTCTGGGCGACGCGCGTCTTCATGCGGACGCTCAGATTCCACCGCTTCCGAAACCGTTCCGACCACCGCTGGCTGCCCTTCCACTTCACAAGCGGGTAGAGCAGCTTCATGAACTCGTGCGACCACTCCTGCAGACGGCCGACGGAGACTGCTGTTCCCTTGCGGCGCCACTCCAGTAGCTTTTCGTACACCTTCAGCTCCATCGGGCGGTACCATGAAGACCTCCCGCGGCCGTGCATGCGCTTCCGTGCGGCGTGCACCTCCTTGAGGAAATCGGCGGCGCGCTTCCACTCCGTGAGACACTTCCGGTGGATGCCGCTTTCTCGAGACAAGGAGCGCACCGACACCCCCACATCCAGCCGCGCGACCCACTGCAGTTTTTCTTGCGCAGTATAAGCTTGACGCTTATGCTGGTTGACTTTGTTCCTGGGAGAGGGGGGGCGGGCATCACGATTCTCAGCAGAAGGGTGAGGTCGCTTGCGGTTAACAGGAGGGAAAGTCGGAATCGGGAGTTTCTCAGGGAGCCCATCGCGAGACCAGTATTCGACGCCGTCGTCGTCGGCGGCACCTGGTTCACCCTCGGGAAACACATCGGCCGCGGTGCCAGCCTCGGTTTCGGCCTCCGTGCCATCCTCGGCACCGTTGTCGCCCTCGGCACGACCTTCTTCCGCGGCGTCAGCCACATCGTCGTCGGCGCCGACGGCAGATTCGTCCCACGTGCATTCTTCGGGCGCGCCCCATCTTGGTGCAGGTGCCGGAGCCCGTACATACACGTCTGGACCCTTGTTATTGTCCGGTTCAGACAGGTACTCGTCGAAGGCGGACGGGAGCAAGAGCGTAAGCACGGGATGATTCCCAGGCGGTTGTGGGAACGCCTGATACGGAGGAGCGGGAGGAGCGGGAGGCGCAGGAGGAGCAGGTGGCGCAGGAGGAGCAGGAGGCTGTGGTGGCGATGGTGGTTCTGGTGGGATACGTGTGTACCATCCGTCAGCGTCAACTGTGTAAGCGGGCCTAGGTTTTTTCTTGAAAAGGAAATGAGTGCCTGTGAATTCCGCCATGGCTTCCGCAGCCAGGCGGGCGTGAACAAGAAAGTGAATGGGAAACGCAAAGCATGAATGAAGAAATGAACGATTGAAGAGGACCCCTTCAGGAAAGCGCCTCGGGGTCCTCATCAATGAAAGACGAAAATCACCCTGCCTGAACCCGCAGAGGAGGGTTCATGGCACCAGACGTGCTGTGCTGGCAGGGCATATTCCACACCCTTCGAGAGGGTTCGGATGAGTTGTCCTGCCTGGCCGCGCATGACAACCCGATTGGGCCGCACGACAGCTTTTGTGTCAGCGCTGGCAGGTGCGCTGCACTGGGACGTGAAGTGTGCGGTGGGGAATCGAATCGCGGCGAATAGCGCGAGGATTCCATGCATGACCCCACGTGAACGGCACATCGTTGTGTTCGCCTTATTGCAAGCTTCATTTTGGTACCCTTACAAACAAATTTCATTTTTGCCATTATAAAGGCGCCGGCGCTTATGGCCGTTACTCGATTATAAGCGCACCCAAATAAAATCAAGATTTTATTATAAGCGCATCTGCGCTACTATCCGGGGTATGACGGTAGTTTTGTTTCTTGTTACATTCTCCTGACGAGAAGAACTGTCAACAACAGGTATCACACACGTTTGATTATGCATGGGGTGCCGAGCATGCATGGGGTGGTCATCATGCATGGGGTGGTGATCATGCATAGGGTTGTGAGCATGGGTGGGTTGGTGAGCATGCATGAGGTGGTGAGCATGCATGAGGTGGTGAGCATGCATGGGGTGGTGAGCATGCATGGGGTGGTGAGCATGTGGTAATTATGCGTGGGGTGGTGATCATGGATGGGGTGGTGAGCATGCATGGGGTGGTGAGCATGCATGGGGTGGTGAGCATGCATGGGGTGGTGAGCATGCATGAGGTGCTGATCATGCTTGGGGTGCTAATTATGTTTGGGACGGTAATCATGCATGGGGTGGTGACTGAGGGCGATTGGGAACGCGAGAAAGAATGGTCAGAATGCGGGTGGGAATAGGTGGGAGGGTGAATGGGAATATGGATGGAGAATGCCAGATTGTTGTTCGCTTTTGAGGCATGTTTCTGTTTGGATGAGGTTTATCAACACAGCATTGAGGACAGAACTATTTGAGAGCAATTTTTTATATATATTTATGCAATTGCATAGGTAGGCACACAGAAAATATGTACATTGAATTCACAACATGATCCGACTCACTCGTCGTTGTCGTCGTTAATGAATCTCCCTGTATCGTGGTTGATGGCGCACTCACTCTTCGTCGTCATTAATGAATTTCCCTGTACCGGGGTTGATGGCGGCGACGAAGAAGAAGGCGATGCTGGCGAGCAGCAGCGGCTCGAGCTCCCACACGGGCACGCCAATCTCGATGTTGAGCTGCGCCAGCGCGCCCTTGCCCGTGATCACCTCGCCGATCAGGCTGGCCGCAAACCCTAATTGCGCCAGCCGCCCCACGAACAGCTCGTTCGCCTTGGTGAAGCCAAACAGCGGCCCGTCCTCCTTCAACCCCAGCGCCGCCTTGATGCTGCCGGGCTTCACGGGCGGCCCCACCGGCTCGTCGTCCACGAATCGCCCGCGGTCGCCCAGCCCGCCGATGGCGCCGAGCACGGTGAAGGCGATGAAGAAGAGCAGCAGCGGCTCGGTCTCCGTGATGGGGATGCCCGTCTCGATGTTGAGCTGCGACAGAATGCCCGCGCCCGTGATCGCCTCGCCCAGCAGCGACGCCGCGAAGCCCAGCATGGCGACGCGCCCCACGAACAGCTCGTTCGCCTTGGTGAAGCCGAAACCGCCCGACGTGCCGAAGATGCCGTCCTCCGTGCGCAGCTTCGTGGCGGGGACGCTCTTAGCGGGGACGGCGGCTTTGCGCGAGCTGAAGAGCGCGGAGACACCTAGGCCGCGGGGAGCTGCTAATTGGGGAACCGAGGGGATGATGCGGGTGGCGAGCTCGGTGCCTCTGACGGCAGAGCTGAAGGAGAGGCCTGAGAGGACCTGACGAGAAGCAAATGCGGAGGCCATGGCTGTTGCTTAGATGGATGGAAACTAGCGGTGGGTGAGAAATTGCTATATGATAATTCGATTTCGAAAACAGTGATGAATGAAGAATGTGCAAAACTGAATTTGTACCACGAAGAATGAGGAGAAAGTCAGGCGAGGCGCGGCATGTCAGCTGCCCATGTAACCTGACCTGTCGTCCTGGCCCGTGGCAGACCTGTGTGGGGCTTGTTCGCTTTCAGCGCAGCGCACTGCACCTGGCGCAACCTTTTGGGAACCTGGACTGGAGATCTCTGACGTGGCTGGACTTGGGGCGCGAATTCGTCGTGTGAGGGACGTGGACGTCCCTGACACTCACCCTCCAGTACACCGCGAATGTTTTGACTAGTCGACGTGGTGGTGTGGTGGTGGCTAAATGCTGCTGACATGGATGTTGAAAGTTGCTTGCTTCTGGAATGCTGGCTTTCGCGGTCAGCATGGGGAGGCGAGCTCTCTCGTGATACAAGCGAAACGGGATTTGGGATTTGTGCTTTCGCAAATGTTGACAAGCCTTTCTCAATTCTCATTGAACTTTGCAGCAGCATCCGCGATGCAACAACTCGGGTATGCAAAAAACATAAGACAGCACATTAACACCATTTGATAATTATAATCAATCACAAAATGGAGGGTAACGCAGCAAAATGGTTACATTGAAATATTATGTATGCTTCTAAACTGAGCCAGCCATGCCTCGACCAATCCATTCATCGACCTACTTGGACCAGCACTTGTCCCATGCTCTCCCTTTTTCCTACTGCCTACTCCATGCACCTCACCCTCCAGATTACTCCCAAGCCCACCTACCACCACCTCAGCATTCCCATAATCCTCCATGCACCGCACATACAGTGCAATGTTCTCTCTTGAATTTGGCAATGACGACAAAAAACAGCATATGCCGGCCGCCAGACAGCTGGCATCGAATGCATTGGCACTGCGTGTGCGGCGGGAGAGGCAAGCGAGAGAGGGGTCGAGGAGGAGGAGGCGGAGGTGGGAGAGGGAGATGAGGACGAGCAGCTGCACTGTCAGAGCACCGCTGCTGCTGCTGCTGCTGCTACTGTTGTTTCTGCTGCTGCTGGTACTGGTGCTCGCAACAGGAGCATCAGCTGAAAGACTGCTAGTAACTACAGTAGCAGCATTAACCTCAGCATTCCGTGCAGCAATGTGAGTGCGAGTAGCAGTGTGTGGGTGCAGGGAGGCCAGCAGGCACTCCACGGACCGGGCAGCGGCGGGGGTTTCACACCCCATGGCAGCGCATGCAGCCATGCGCACCAGCCCCCGCACCAGCCGCACCTGACCCACCTCCGCCAGTGCCCTCGCGACACCTGTCACCGTCGCGGCAATATCTTGGACATTGTGACGTTCTGCCGAAAGCGCAGCAGCAGCAGCAGCAGCAGCTCTGCCTGCCACGGCGCCAGATTCGCCTGTTGACGCTGCCGCCGTGAAAGCACCAGCCTTTCCTGCACCTCCTGCCACGCCCCTGCCTGCCGTGCTGTCGCCCCTCTGTCCTACTCCCCCCGTGCCCCACGCATCTCCCCGTGCCACCGGTTGGGCCATGCTGGTCTCTGCTCGACTATATGCTGCCAACACGTGCCTCCCCATGGCAACTGCTGTCCTCGCTGCCCTCCCCACTGATACAGATACTGCAGACTCACCCCCTCCTCCACCTCCAGTCTTCCGCACATGCCGCCGCTGCTCACCTCCTCCCACCTCCTCCTCTCCTTGCTCACGCCGTTGCACTCCCCCCTCTCTCAGCTCCCCTACCAGCTGCAGCAGCACCTGCCTCCGCTCCCTCGCCATACCTCCCACTACTTCCACCGCCTGCATCACTCGCTCCTCCTCTTCTCTCCTCAGCGCCCAGTCCAAAGCCACAAGCCCCTCTGCCGTTCGTGCAAAGCCTGGCCCTTCTTCCCCTGCTCCTGCTGCCCCTCCCCTGCTGCTACCGGCCGTCAGACCGGCATCACTGCCTGCCAAGGCCACATGGGGAGGAGCAGAGGCGGTAAGGCTGATTCTGGCGGCAGTGTGGACGGTGGTGCCAGAGGCAGAGCCAGCAGGGATGCTGGCAGGGGTGTTTTGGATCTGGCCAGAGGCAGAGAGGCAGGAGGCGAGGCGGAGGATGAGGGGGAGGGAGAGGGAGGGCAGGCCAGAGGGGAGGAACCACGCGGCTAAAGGCGGGAGGAACATGGCGTGGGACGGGTGCGAGAGCACCACCAGCGATGACACCGCGGCTTCCAAGAAGGTTCCACTGTTAGCAGAGATGGAAGGGTGTGACCTTTGTCTGCTCGTGCTTCTTCTCTCAGTCTCTCCACACGCTTGCTGCAGCGCCTGCAGCAGCAGGGGCTGCACGGCAGTGCGCCAGAGGAGTGAGGGAGAGGAAGGTGAGTACACAGTTTCCGAACCACCTCCCCTACCTCCTCCTCCTGCTCCTCCCTTACTCCCTCTACACCTTTCAGTTCCTCTGGTGCTCGTTACAAGCACGTCTTCAAACAGGCACGTGCAGTACTCCCATGCACCCAACTCCCTTTCCATCTGCAACACCCGCCTCTCAAACCCCTCCCTTCTCCTCTCCCCACCACCTCCCCCCTCCTCCCCCGCCCCTTTCCCCTCATCCCCCTCCCCATCCACACCCCCTCCCTTTCCCCCCCAGGACCACAGCCCCGCCCACCCACTGCCCTTTCCCCCATCCGCCTTCCCCTCCTCCCCCTGCTGCCGCGGCCCTGCGCCGTGCAGGGTGTTAAGCGCCTGAGAGAAGCCGGCTTGCAGAATGGAGGCTGCATGGCGCCTGAGCATGAGGCGCAGTGCCACCACCACGGCATGGCACGCGCCCCCTGCCCACTCGTCCCTGCTCCTCGTGCCACTACCGCCAGACGCACCAGTGTCACTGGAATCACGACAAGTGCCAACTGGAGTGGTGTAAATAAGAGTGGTGTGGTGAGGAGGATGGTTAGAGGGAACAGAACCGCTGGTGGTACCGGCAACGACAGCAGCTGCACCATCAGCTTCACCAGAAGCACCAGCACGAGCAGCAGCAGCAGAAGCAGCAGCGGTGGCAGCAGTGGCAGCAGCAGGAGCAGCGGTGTCTCTCCTTCTCGCGCCTCCCTCATCCCTGCCTATGAACGACAGTCCCTTGGTCTCAAAGGCACCCACGCCTGAGGAGAACCCCGCCACAGCGGCCCGTGCTCGAGCCATAGCCTGCCGAAACGCCGCCTGCCCATGCACCCGCGCTGCAACCTGTGCCTTGCTCTCACTACCCTGCCCCTCAGCCACTTCACCCAGCCTCCTTTGCATCCCCTGCCTGCTTGCTACCCCCTCTCCTGCTGTCCTTTCCGAGTGGGGTGTATGGGTGGAAGGGGGATGGGTGGGCGGTGGGAGGAGGGTGAGGATGCATGCGTGCATAAGGCTGAGCACACTGGCTGGTACCACTGCCACCACTGCCCGTGACACACACCGCAGGTGCCTCTCTAGATACTCCCCCCTCCCTCCCGCTCCTGATCCTGCTGCTCCTGATGCTGCAATGCCTGCAACATCTCTCTGTCTTACAGCTGTTGATGCTCGTCCTGCTCGTGCCCCACTCTCACCACCGCCGCCACTACCAACAGCACTGGTACCAGCACCAGCATGACCATGCTTTCTTGCACCTCCAGAGGCAGCACGCAAGGAGACAGCAGTACCATCAACTCCTGACCGCATTAACACCAGCAAGCACCCCACCTGCCCCAGGCACTCTGGCTGCAGCCTCACTCGAGCCTGCAGCCATGGCAGCAGGCTCGGCAGCAGCGCCCAGAGGAACCCAGGCTCGGCAGCAGCAGAGAGCGCTGCAAGGTGGTCGCCTCGAATGGCCTGCACTAGAGCCATGTCCTGGAGCAGACGACAGGTGGCGTGCAGGGATTGGGCGGCGAGGGGGTGCGACTGAATGTGGTGCAGGGAGGCAGCGTCTGCGAGGGCGAGGGAGAGCTGCTGCAGGCTGGCTGGCGTTGAGGAGGCGTCTGGGTGCTGCCAGTGCGACACCTGCAGACACACATGCAAGGAGTAATAAGGTAGGGAGCGAGATTGGAGGAATGAGGAGAGTGGGAGGAAAAGGGATGGGAAGAAGTGCCACTGAGGTAGCTGTGGCTAAGAAGAAGAGGTGGCAGGAAGTGCGGATGGGAAGCAAGGTGATTGCAGGCACAAGTGGAGAGGGGCGAGAGATAAGCTCACCTGCTCTCACCTGCCCTCACCTGCCCTCACCTGCCCTCACCTGCCCTCACCTGCCCTCACCTGCCCTCAGCTGCCCTCAGCTGCCCTCACCTGCCCCCTCACCTGCCACGACAGTCGTTGGAACCACTCTCCAATGCTCCCATCCGCCCCTTCCTTCCACCCCATGCCCGCCATCCCCTCCACCCCATCTCCCACCGCTCGCCGATCCCCTCCTCTGCTCCCACTCTCAGCCCCCCCCCTGCCCGCACCCCCTGCTGCACCTCTCCCCTCTCCCTCCACACCCTGCCCCGCCGCAAACAGCCGAGCCAGGCCGTCCAACCGTGCGCACGCCGCCTGCCTCAGGCGGTGCCAGCTGTCCTCTCTGCGGGCAATGATGGCGGAGAGACACGTGGCAGCCTCTGATTGGAGCTCAGCGAATGTTAGGAGGAGAGTAAAGAGCGGATCGTGGTCAGAGGGAGGGGGGATGGGAGGAGGATGAGGGGCGACGGTGGTAGAGGTGGAGGCTGGTGGGGAGTTCGCTTGCTCCAGCCACCAAACCAGCTGCTCCTGCTGCTGTTTCCGCTGCTGTCAGATCTGCCTTGCTCTACTGAGCCCACAGCCACCCCACCTGTTACTTCCGGCAAGAGCAAGTCCCCAGCTACCTCAGCAGCCACCTGGCTTGCCTCCGACCAGCCAGGGGATGACAGGCCAGCGGCAGCAGCAGTGCGAGCACGGGCGTGTGCGTGGAGTTGGGCTGAGCGGGCAAGACGGTGGTTGGTGAGAATGATAGGCAGGGAAAGGTGCAGCGCGAGAGAGGCACGGTGCTGCAGCAGCCATCTAAGAAGAGCGGCTGTGTGGCGGATGAGGGAGAGAATTTCTCGTGCACTGCGCAGCACTGCCAGGCCAGGCACGGAGCAGAGGAACGAGGAGGAACTCTTTGAATCTGTACTACTGCTGCTGCTGGTACCAGTGGTGTAAATCGTGCTGCTGCTGGTATTGCTGCTTTCATCATTAGCAGCAGCGCCAGCGGCACTACCACGAGCGACCCCACCGCCCACATGCTTGCCACCCCACAGCTCCTCCTCCCACCCCCCCGCGCTCTGCTGCATCAGCCGACTCATGGCCCTACCCACCGCCTGCTGCACCCCTGGCAGCACGTGCACCAGCGCCTGAGCCACGTGCAAGGCAGAGGTTGGCGAGAGGTGCAGGGCAAGGGCAGAGCGGGCAGCAGGGAAGTGCTGCCAGGCTATGGAGAGGTCCAGGGAAAAGCCGAGGAATATGGGCACCACCCATGTCAACCCTCCCACTGCCGCTGCCCCTGCTGCTGCTGGGTCACTGGCTCTTCCTCCTCCTCCACCACCGCCGCCGCTTTCTCCCTGCTGCTGCTGCTGCTGCTGCTGCTGCTGCTGCTGCTGCTGCTGCTGCTGCTGCTGCTGCTGCTGCTGCTGCTGCTGCTGCTGCTGCTGCTGCTGCTGCTGCTGCTGCTTCTGCAGCGGCGCTCGCTGCTTCCAGAGGCTCCAGCCCCCAGCAGCAGCGGCAGCAGCAGGTGGCGCGGAGGAGGAAGAGGAGGGGGGGGAGGGGGGCAGGGCGAGCAGCCTGCGGTGGACGAGCTCGTGCATGAAGGGCAGGTCGGCACGGAGCGAGGAGGGGTGGAAGAAGAGCAGCAGGATGAGAGATGAGGTGGAGGGAAGGGAGGCTGTGACTGCTGCCACTGCAGAGAGAGTGTCATGGGGTGTATGTGCTCCTAACGCTCCTCTTTCTGCTGCTCCTGCTGTTCCTGCTTCTTGCGTTGAAGAGGAGAGAGGCGAGGAGTACGTGGATTTGTGTACAATAGACGAGAGGAAGGCGGAAGCAGCTGAGTTCGAAGCTGAGGAAGAAGCAGGTGAGGAGTCGACAGCAACAGCTTGTTTCCGCAGCAGGGCCTGGATGGCCATCCATGTGACGTCAGGCGGGGGGGCAAAGCGGGAGAAGAGCTGCTCCAGGCTGTGGGAGTCTGTGGGCGCTATCACACACGGTAGCGACAAAAACGCTGCTGTCTCCGCCCCTCCAATGCCAAGACCAGAGCCCTCTGAACCCAAACCTGATCCCAGGCCTGAGCCCGAACCTGAGTCCAAGCCTGAAACGAGGCCCAGCTTTGTTATGTCGAAGCACTCTCTTGGGAATGGGGACCACAGGAAGGCGTCGGTATCATTGCTGGCACTGCTGCTGCCATCGTCCGCTTTGCTGCTGCTCCCCACTTTCTTGTCCGTTGCCTGTCCTCCTGCAGTCCCCTTATGAACTTCCGGTTCTCCCGACCCTGCTCCTGTGGTTCGGCACAGCTGACATAGGTCGTCGAAGTCGCGAGTCAAGATCTCACCCAGGGCCTCCCCCGAGCCTGGCCCGGAGGTTCGGCACCAGTGGCGGTACGCAGCGATGAGTAAGCGCTCACGTGATTGGTTGGGTAAGAGATGGTGGAGGAGGAGAAGCAGAAGTGCGTGAGTGTGAAGCACCTATGGGATGGGGTCCAGATAAAAAAAATAAGCCAAGCACAGAATGAGCTATACAAATACAAAGATACAATGTTTTGTAAGCATGTACAGGAACGAAACAAAGGCCAGTGCAGTTTCCCTGTGCTTCTGCAATCCAGCCTAACCTATCATCACCTTCCATACCATCCTCAGTTGAATTTATCTTATTCTTATGGTTGATGAAGAATCTATAAAATTACAAGCATATCCCTCCTTTGCACCCATGCGCTCGACGCCTTTACCTGCAGCAGCAGCGACTGCATCTCGTCGCCCTCATCTCCGCCCACCACGCCTTCCAGCGAGCTCCCGAGGAACAAGCCACGCCGCAGCCCTTCGATGGTCTGCCTCAGCGCGCGGTACAGCTTCAGCGCGGCCGCCAGCAGCAGCACGAACCCCACCAGCTGCTCGCCGTGCGCCGTCCACCACGCGCGCTCCGCGCTCCACTCGTCCGGGCGATCGCGCAGCTCGCGCTCGCGGTCGTCCGGCGCGCGTAAGTACTCGAAGTCCCATAGCGGGAAGGGGAGATCGGTAGACGGCGATGGGGTTTGCGTGAGATTGAGCTGAGTGGATGTCGATGGAGGTGGTGGTGTAGGGAGTGTGATTGAACGGAGGAAGTCTCGCGGTAGGTTGGCGCGGAAACGCAGGAGCTCGGAGAGAAGCGAGTTCCCGAAATCGACGAGGGAGCGGAGAGCGGTTGCAGCGGCGTTATTAGGAAACGATGATGTCATTGCCGATGGCGTCTGAGTCTAAGGCTCCTAGATCATAATCTCAGAACTGAGGTGCTGGTGCATCTCCTTGATCCGAATTTGCAAGGACTGCGTCTGACCGATGAAGGCAAAAATGGTGCGAGGTGTCTCTGAATATTGTTGGAGTGAAATTATTGGTGACGGTGCAGTGGGTGTATCCCCCAGTGTCCCGTGAAGTTACGAAGAGGTAATCCTCGGTTACATACGGTTTGGCGGTAGTGAGCACTGCAAGTCAATTCTGGTGGATTCAGGCGAGTCGTTTGCGAACATCGGCAATCTCGGAGGTACACACTATGTTTCGCGAGATTGTTTCGCGGCCGCAATGTTGAATGGACACCCAGGGAATTTTCGCAGGGGAGAACTCTGTAACCTGGAAGCAGCTACAGCACTCCCATTTTTGTTGCCATTAACTCCCTCTCATTTCCTCGCCAAGTCACAATCATCTCACTTCTCATTACCGCAATCACACAACGCTTCGACATGTCTTTCACACTTGATGACTTGCTTGGACCAACGAAGTCTGATGGCTTCGAGATGTTTGGGTCCCGCACACCACAGCCATCGACTTCGAAAGCAGCAGGTGCAAGTAAGTTTCGCGTAAGGATTGTTTTAATCCATTCATTCTACTTTGTTGACGTTTGGCCACCATTTCAGCTGACGACATGTTTTCTGACTGGAAAACGAGCGACAAACCTAGTAAACCGGGGGAGAATACGAAGAAACCCATCAATTTCAACAGCCTGTAAGATTAGATATCTGATGCCGGACGCTGGTTTTATTATGACTTCATCTTTCAACTCCGTTTGTTTGCGATGTTCAGGGTGGACTTCGACCTTGATAGTGGTTTTAGCAAGTTCGACATTTCCATGAGTGACCTCGATTTCGCCGATACGAATTCAGACTCTCCAAAAGCTGAACCGGCAGATGCGAGGTAATACACTATCACCGTCTCTCATGAGTTGTGCATTGCCTAACATCGCCGTTATCTTTCAGGCCAAAGCTTGACCAAGGTCTTTCGCTCGCGTCATCCATGAATGGTGAAAAGAAAGACGAATTTGAAACTGGGTTTGAAGATTGCGAAACTTCCGGGTTACCTGAAACTGAAAAGCATACGGAAGAGCCAACTCAAGATGCTGACGAGTTGAGTCAAGACATTCCAGAGCTTAATGAATCCGAGATCCAAAGTCCGAGAGAAGACAGCATTACTGACAACGAGCCAACTGATCAAAACAGCCCAGGAAATACTTCAGATGTTTCTCCTACTAACCCAACAAAGAATGGTCAGACGAGTCTAGACGATCAACAGGATGAACCGCTGGAGCCCTCTGAGCCTACAAAACCGCTGCAATCTTCCAAGCCTGTTGAGCCGCTGGAGTCCTCTGAGCCTGATGAACCACCGGAGTCCCCTAAGCCTGCTGAACCCCTGGAGAGTTCCATGCCTGCTGAACGTCTGGATTCTGCCAAGCCTGCTGAACCTCTGGAATCTTCCAAGCCTGCTGAACCTCTGGAGTCTTCCAAGTCTGCTGAACCTCTGAAGTCCTCCAAGCCTGCTGACACACAGGCGACCAAGAAATCTGCACGAATGTAAGCACCTTAATTCCTATAGGTCACGTGTTTCTATTACCATTTCTTAACTTTCCAAGTTCGTCTGGCAGAAACGCCAATTCTCAAGGACCAAATGGCGATAATTCTGAAGTGTTGATGGCCAAGAAAAGCATGCTTGAATTGAATAAGCCATCTGCTGCATCCGATCCCGGCAAAGGGTATGCTGCACTGCAACATCCTATTTCGACCTCGAATCGTTTGGAATCGTATTAAAATATTTTTCAACTGCAGAGGGATATTAAGAGCGTCCTTGACTCAGACAAGGATGAGCGTGAATTTAACTGGACAGTCAGCTCGACTGGCTAACACGAGTGTCAAGTCACTTGGACAAGATCGAGCAAATTCAGCAGTTCCGGCTGCTTCCATGTTTAAGGCGAGGGGTGCACAGTCCACATTGCCAACAGCAAGTTCTCTTGGACAGACACCTGGTGTCGGAAGGCCTACGCCTGGCCGCATCTCCTCTCTCATGAGCTTGAACAGAGCTACAAGCTTGCCGCTCAGTCTAAATGCTCCCGAAGAACCCAGCTTGAATCTGCCCCGTCAACCAGCGGGACAGCAGAGATCCATCAGCAGCACCGCCCAAGAAAAGAGCGTTGTGAAGCCAGTTCCCCTTGCATTGCGCACGAGCATCAATCCTGGAGTTGAATCAGCTAGACTCGGAAATCGTACTTCTCTGAAGGTAGGCCTTTCCATGGTCTTTTACTTGTTTCGAAGTGATTATTCTGATACACTGCATTCTATGGCATTTGATCCAATGACAGATCTCAACAAGCACCGGCCAACATTTCAGCCAGGGGAAAACTACATCTGAGAATGGAGCTATGGGGAGCAGGACCAGCAGTTTGCGAAAGTTGGCTTCTATCTCCAGCAAACCTATTGTGGCAACATCTGTCCAGCCTCGGGTGGCTCATGTCCAAGTTGATGAAGCCTCGCCACCAGCAACTTCAGCCAAACTCTCAGCTTTGGAATCTCAGCTGAATAACACATTCGTTTTTGGGCAGCATTCTGCACTGTAAGAAGACAGAGATGGGCTGCCACTTGCCAAGGGAGTAGTTCTCATATCTGATCCTGATTCTCCACTGCCGTATGTGCCACAGGGAAGACAGCACATCGCTCAACAAGGACGTGACATATGGGTCCAAGCCTGATGCACAGGAAATTCTTCTTATAGAACCAGCTGAAGAAAAGCAAGACAAGGGAGACATGACGCTATCCTTCCCTGCTGCTGGAAAAATGATGAAGGTGAGCACACACATTAGTGCACATAATCTCCTGACAGGGCATTTTCCGTTGCTCATGCCATTGATTGCCCTTGCAGGAGCGAGACGATGTGCAGAACATGGGGATGGTGGCCATGCTAGCTGGCGGCGGACAGCTCATGGGAATCCAGAACAAAGAAATTGGAGACATGAGCCCGGAGTTTGAAGGAGAGGCATCAGGAGTTGATGAGCTTGATCAGGTAGGCTGAGAAAAGTTTGTCAATTTTCTTGCATGAACCTGAATTTTATCTCTGTTCTCCTTCCGCGCAGGTGTACAGGATGCTGCAGCGTAAGCATGAAGAAGCGAAAGAGCTACTTGTGAGGGTGATGATCAACCACAACCTGTTGGTGCGAATGAATGAGAAATACAGCTACGAGAACATTGAGAAGAAGCGGCAAGATATTCTGAGTCTGATTTCACGTGGTGCTGCCGAGGAGTAGTAGGGACATTCTGGTTGCAAACGTTATTACAGTATCTTTGCCCAATGAACCTTATTATGATGTTTAAAAGATATATTGACTACCAACCGTCAATCACACCCAAGGTATAATAATGAATAACACTTGGAGTTAAAACGACAAGATAACAACTCTCATATTGTGCTACCTTCTTGCCACAAGCTTAGATTGGGTAGAACAGCTGCTATCTCCAATCATCCAACACGGTAACAGGACGCTACCCAACCAAGAGATAAACAGAATGCAATCCAATCCGAAGACGAAACTGTACGTATCTACGCGTTGCTGTTCCCCCCCCCAGTCCATATAGTTTCCGTGTCTATGTAAGTATCGCAGTCTCCACTCAGAGAAGGCACCAGGGTTGGAACGTAGCCATTACCATGAAACTTCTGTTGCGCAGTAAGCCTGCTCAAATATGCGCCTCCCTCACGATCTCCACTCTGGCGATTACCTCCAGTGCAACAATATTCACCATCACCATAGCGGTTATCATAGTGGTTACCAATGTTAGCTGTCAGTGCATTGCTGTCATCCTGCTCCTGCTCCAGCTGCTGGATGTCAACGATTATTGGCGTTTTTTTTTTGCTGCCACTGTTGAGATTGCTTTCACCTGCATCACCCCCTGCAGCAGCTCCACCACCCTGAACTTCCTCCTGAATCCCCTGCTGCCTCGTCTCCCCCCTGGCACTGACAAGGAATGATGCGGCAACGTCGCTCTCCCTCCGCACAACCTGGAACGTCGACCCCATGTCACTCTCCCTCCTCCCCACCCCTCCATACCCTACTCCACCCCCCACCAGGTCCACTCCCATATCCATCCCTCCCATACCCAAGCTCCCTTCCGCTCCCTCACCCACCACCCCTCCCACGCTGCTGCTCCAGATGCCTGTGCTATCATCCACCCCCTCCTCCCCCCACAGATCTCCCACCGTTTCCTGCATATCCAGAGCACTCTCCAGCTCAGCAGCAATCCAGCTCACTGCACTGCTCATGCTCATGCTCCTGCTCCGGCTGGCAGTGATGCTCCTGCTGCCAGCACCACTGAAAGCAGCACCATACGGAGCAGTACCCATGCGGGCAGCACCACCGGCAACAGCAGCAGCAAGGTTATCGTGCTGAAAGGAAGAAAAGGCAACGGGAGGAGGAGGCGGAGGGGAGACATCGGGGCCGAGGAAAGCAGCAACGGCATCAAAGGCATCATCGCCATCAGCGGCAGCTGGGAGTGCTGTGTACGCGTCCATGCATGCTGGTGCAGCTGGAAATTCCGCCAGTGGGGTAGGGGCATTGGCAAGCAGAGGGGCAGAAGCAGCTTGCATGTTGAATTGCTGCTGCACGTTGCCTCCTTGCTGCAGAGGATGTGCATCTGGCACAAGGTCGCAGAACATATGTGGTAACTCCACAGCGCCGCTTCCGCTCGCTGCTGCCGGCAACACTCCCCGCTCTTCCGGGAGATTCTCCTGCTGACCTGGCAGAACTTCCTGATGAGCTGGCTCATCGCCACTCGCAGCTGTGTAGATGACATTCGTTTCAAGCAGATTGGCAGCGATGGCAGGTGGGGCGAGGCAGCTTGTGCTGCCTCTGCCGTCCGTGTTACCATATACGTCACTCCGAGAAGGGAAGGCCTGCATTCCACCTCGCCAGCATTGCACCTCACGTGCCGCCTGCTGCTCATAACACTGAGCCTGCTGCAGCAGGGAGGGCTGCTGCTGTTGCTGCTCCTGCTGGTAAAGCTGAGCCTGCTGCTCAGGCACGTGTGGCTGCTGTTGCTGTGCTGGCATCTGCAGAAGCATCGGTGCGAGCAGCAATGGCTGCTGCTGCTGCTGCAGCAACTGTTGCTGTGCTACAGTCTCCTGGAGCTGCACACGTGGCATCTGCTGCATCTGCTGCACCTGCTTCACCGGCCTCATCTCCTGCACGGTGTTCATGTGACCGGCAGCAACAACCGGCTCGCTGCCAAGAATAGCGCAAGCAGCACTGCTCGTGCACCCGCTGCTGTCCATGCCTGGAGCGCCAGCAGCAGCAACACCAGCAGTATCCGCAGGGCCAGCAGCATCTAAAGCACCTTGAAAAAGCGTGGGTGCCGTTGCAACACATGATACCCCAACACCAGCGCCAATACCAGTGGCAAAACAAGCAGCACTGCTGGCCGATGCCAGAGACTTGTGTGTAGACCCTGGTGCCGGAGAGGAGAACAAAATAGATGTATTGACTGCTAGGTACTCTTTGCCGTCTTGATTGACTCCAACGCATGTGTTTGTAGCGGGTACGGATGCGGCCCCGTGCAAAGGTGCACCTCTGGCCACAACCCCTGCGGCTGTAGCGCCAGCTGTAGCAGCAGCAGGGGTGGTGGGCAGAGCTGCGATCCCTGGGACCCGCTCCTCCTCACGTATAGCTGTAGCCTTAGTCTTCCCAATCGTGGCCGTTGATGTAGCAGCTGTAGCGGCATCTGTACCGTCGGTTGCAGCTGCTGCAGTTGAATCAGCCGGCGGAGACGGCAGTGCTGATGTCACAGCGCCTGGTTCCGCCGGCACGAGCGGCGGTTCGCAGCACAGCAAGTCGACAGCGGCTCGCCCGCCATTGAACTCGTGCGGTCCGTCTTGAGCTTCGGACTGTGCTGTGTGCTGCGCTGCGTGTTTTGCTGTCTCTTTCTCCGCTGCTTCCTCGCTACTCTTCAGCCGCTTCAGCGCCCTCGCTCCTTCCGCCTCCCCCTCGCCGTCATCCTCCTCTCCGCCGCTCCCCGCGTTCTCCTCTTCCTCCTCCCTCTCCGCCATCGATTCATCCTCCGCCTCCCCTTCCGCCTCGCCTCCCGCCTCTCCTTCCGCCTCCGCTCCCGCCTCCGCTTCCACAGCCTCCGCGGCCTGGCATGTGTCCGGTTTCGGTTCGTCCACGTCATCAGGGAAGTTCAGCAGCGCTTTGGCGCCTCGGATCTCCCGCGCAGCCGCGTCGTACGCGCGCGCCGCCGCTTCCGGAGAGTCAAACGTCCCCAGCCACACGCGCCCCTTCCCCCCCGCATCCCGGATTTCCGCCGCCCATCTCCCCCACGGCCGGTAGCGCACCCCGCGGTACGCGGGCACGGGGGAGCCATCCGCCGCAGTCGGGGGAGGCGGTGGCTGGCTTCCCGGCGCCTTCGCCTTGCGCTTCCGCTGCACTTGCGCCTCCGCCTGCTCCTCCCCCCGCGCCTTCTTCGGGCTCCTCCTTCCGCCGAGCCGCCCGCCAACAGTTGCGCCAGCAGCTGCGCATGTGTTTCCGCCGATGGCGGAAGCGGGCAGCAGCACCGGAGTCATAGCCCCCACGAGGCCTGCGGTCGGCGCACCCTGCGGAGCGAGTTGCGGTGTGACGGCTGTGCTGTCACCGCCAATCATCTCCTGAAGAGTCTTCTGCACTCGCCCCGCCACGAGAAACGGCTGCGTTGATTGCGGGGCCGATTCGGAAGCAGCGCAGAACAGCTGCGGCGATTGTTGCGCCGAGCCGAGCGCGGAGTGGGACAGCTGCGGCGACCGCTGAGTCGAGTCTAACTGCGAGTGGAACGGCTGCGGGCTGGCAGGCGGCGGGGGTGCGGGGGAGAAGCGTGAGAGCAGCGCGTTCTGCGGGAGCAGCGCGGGCTGGAAATGGAGCGGCGCGGTTTGGGGAAGGAACTGGTGCACGGGCGAGCCAAGGCGCGGGGCGGGGGACGGCGTCTGCGCAAAGCAGTACGGGCGCGGGGGCTGCGGCGGAGTGGGGGGCGTAATGTGCGGCTGTGGGGAGAACGGCGGAAGCGGGGGAAGCGGAGATGAGCTGACTATCGGATGGGGATGCTGTGCCGAGGGGCACGTGTGTGATTGTACCGAGGGGCACGTGTGTGATTGTACCGAGGGGCACGTGTGTGATTGTACCGAGGGGCACGTGTGTGATTGTACCGAGGGGCACATGGTTGACTGTGCGCGATACTCGTTTGTATCTAACGGCGTGTGATAAGCGGGTGGTAGCTGCTGCTGTGATTCAAACTGACCGGCGCTCTCGTGAACTATTTGGTGGTACTGCGGCTTCGACGGTGGCGCTGTCGCCATGGGGTCTAGCGAGTGACAAGCAGCCGAGCCGTACATGGCGGCAAGCAATGTCGAAGGTTGACAGGTGGGCTGCGAGTCTTCTTGTCTAGGGTCTTTCTAGGCTCGAATAGACGATTTGTGCGGCTCCAGTCTTTGAACGACTGCCCCTTTTGGAGTCTAGGGAGTTCCTATTTCCGTCGGTTAGATTCTTAATAAAGGCCCGACTGGTCTATGTCGGTTGCTCCTGTCATGCGTGCAAGCAGTTGAGAGAGGTCGTTATTAGAAATCGGAAATCGGACATTGTGAACGAGAGGATTGAAATGTGTCCGACTAAATAGCACCGACATTCGTGATTGGGTAGAGAAGGGAAAGGGGGAAACGATGAGCGAGGCTGGACTTGGGGGATCTGCCTGATGGGAAGCTGACGTGACAGTTACGGTTGCCAGCAAGGAAGCTGACCATAAACCGAGTACAGTTGATTCGCGGCCCGACAGCGCATGAGCACGAGAGAGTTAGGTGAGCAGAGCAGGGTGGGTCAAGGAGGGGCGCTGAGTCGCCCTAATGTCAGGCCAGTCCGAAATGGCACGACGAGCAACGTATGGAGAGGGCCGTGCGTGGGAGATGGATTTGAGCGCTGTTTTTGGCTCTTGCTGTGAAGTTGTCCAGATGATGATGCTGCTGCGGTGCCTGAAACGATGGGGCGGTCTCGAGCCAATTTCAGATAAATCGCGTGCGCTCCTGGAACAGAATCTGCTCGAACCGCGCATCTTTAATTTGGTTGCGAACCGCATCTGGGAAAATTGTACCCGCGCCTAAACTAAATGTCGGAGAAAGCACGACTGGGGGTAACTTATGCCACATGGCGGATGTTAAGTGGTGATTTGCAGCGTGAAGTGCGTAGCGCTGAGATGATTGGGGGTTGTTGGCTGTCGACACCACCGACGATCCGTGTCGGGCAGTTTACTCACTTCTGTCGCAAGGGAGTCGTTTCGGTCGCATGTGACTCGTTTGAGTCGCAGAGGCCACTGGGTTTCTTCGCATTACGCTTGCTCCGCAAGAAATGTGTCGCTAGACGACGTCGTACGCAATCGGAACTTTCTAGGTTGCTCCAAAGCACTTTCTTTGTTCGGGCGCTCAAGGTGCACAAATCAACAACGACAGTTCGAGATTTGGTGTTGTATTCCAAATATAACCTCAAAATATCACCAGCATTGCTAATCATACCGTAACTAGAATCAGCCATTTCCCCTCCATTCCTTCTCTTCCATATATTTGTGCTGTGTTGTGGAATTTCAGAACCATAGGAATAAGGATGAGGTTAGTAAAGTAAGATGACATTATCATCAATATCTAGTAAACATGAAATAGGGTTTAATATACAATCATAAAGTAATTAGATCCAAGCGTGAATATCGTTGGAAGAGGGACAAAGGCCGAGCGTAAAAAACAGTTGGCAAAGACGGTTACAGCAACATATACCATTCTAACCATGCATATGCCCTACACAGAAGCGCTTTTATTTAAAAGGGTGTTACATGCGAGGGTTTATAATACGGTAAGAGAGTGCATATGTAGCAGAGGAAGCATCCTGTGTGCTTTGTACCGGTAGTAGTAAGCAACAAGTTGCTTGCTGCTCATAAAGGCAGCAAGCGTTACAATTACAATACAAAGCAACAAACATCCCGTTTTCAAGCTTATCACCATGGAGGGTGAAGCTCTTGCACCTGGCCTTTCACCTGCTTCGGTGTTTGCCCCCCATACCACCACCCTAGCAGCCCTCCTCTCCTCGCCTCTACCCCTCTCCCTCCCCTCGTCTCACCATCCACTCGACACAAGCACTCAGGAGCAGGATACGTGTACAGTGATTGGTCAGCTCGCCGAGCCTTGATCTGTCCGAGCCTGCCCTCATGGCCCGTGCGCACGGCTCGGGTGAAGTCTGACCAGGTTAGGTTCGGTGTTTGAAGGAGCGAGGCTAGGAGAGGAGTGTTGAGCTTGATGGTCTTGCTGCCTCCGAAGTAGGCTCGGTACCCAGCCTGGTGGGTGGGAGGGAGAGGGGAGAGGGGAGAAGGGGTGCCTTGCAGGAGCATGAGTGGCATGGTGACGGCTTGAGCTGATGACAAACGAGTTCAAATTGATGCGCCAAACAACCTGAGGCGCCTACCAATATCATATCATGCACTCGGCATGATATGATGCCACCATGCACTCACCATGACATTATGCATGTTCCCTGCTGACGTGGACACAAACACGTCACTATGCATGCTGACGTAAAAATCCAGTGCTGCCAGCATGGACGCCCGCCCATGGAACGGCCGCAGCTCCTCCGGGGTGGCAAGCGTCGTCTTATCCTCGAGGTTGGGAAAGAGGCGGCGCAGCGCTGCCATGCGGCTGGGGCCCCCATACACCTGCATGGGGTTGGGGGGAACAGAAGTGAAAGGGTTTGAAAGAATCAAAGGGATATGGGGAACAGAAGTGAAAGGGTTTGAAAGAATCAAAGGGATATGGGGAACAGAAGTGAAAGGGTTTGAAAGAATCAAAGGGATATGGGGAACAGAAGTGAAAGGGTTTGAAAGAATCAAAGGGATATGGGGAACAGAAGTGAAAGGGTCTGAAAGAATCAAAGGGATATGGGGAACAGAAGTGAAAGGGTCTGAAAGAATCAAAGGGATATGGGGAACAGAAGTGAAAGGGTTTGAAAGAATCAAAGGGATATGGTCAACAGAAGTCCCCATACACCTGCGTGGAGTTGGAAGGAAGTGGAGAGCATACGGGGTCTGAAGGTTTAGGCCCATCACTCTCATCACTGGGGGTTTTACCGACTAAAATCCCCACACACCTGCATGTGTTTGGAAGGAAGAGAGGAGCATACGGGGGACGTGATGTTTTCGGCCCATCTCTCCCATAACCAGCAGCGCGGCCATGCGACTGGGGACCCATACACCTGCATGGGTTGGTGGAGAGTACGGGAGTGGGGGTTCAAAGAGGAGTGGGGGTTCAAAGAGGAGTGGGGGTTCAAAGAGGAGTGGGGGTTCAAAGAGGAGTGGGGGTTCAAAGAGGAGTGGGGGTTCAAAGAGGAGTGGGGGTTCAAAGAGGAGTGGGGGTTGTGGGTGATTGTTGCACCTGCACCTTATCACTCGCTCAACTGCCATGCGACTGGGGCCCCGTACACCTGGTGGGGTTGAAGGGAGTGGTTTTACTGGGATTTGTCGCTTCATTCGTCACGCGTAACAAACCATACGCCACCACACCACACCACACCGCACAAAAAGACACCCACCACACCACACGACAAGACACCCACCACACCACACCACACCGCACCACACGCACTGCACCGCACTGTACCCAACCTCACCCCACTCCACCACACCACACCTCACCTGGTACGAAGCCACATAGAGCTGCATGTGTCTGGAAAATCCCAGCGCCGCCAGCACCAGCCCCGCCTCCTCTGGTGTGAGGGGACACTTGCCAGCTGCCCTCAGCTGCTGCGGGGTGTGCTGCACTTTACCCTCCAGCTCCCCCCACACCCTTTTCCAGTACCGCCTCAGCTGCTCCCGCTCCTCCCTCGCCTCCCCATAGTCGCACCTTGAGTGCGCCACCATGTCCTGAGGGGGAAAGAGGAGGGGACAGTCATGTTAGGGCAGGGGAATGAGGGTCCCAGGTGGGACAGGGGAGCAGTATGGGGCACGCCTTGCTCTGCCCCCAACTCTGATGGTGGTTGCGAGGGTACTGATGGTGGTTGCGAGGGTACTGATGGTGGTTGCGAGGGTACTGATGGTGGTTGCGAGGGTACTGATGGTGCCATCACAAATTTGTTCTCCCCGCGTACTATGTACTTACAGGTTCTGCTATATTGTATATATAGAGTTATATAGAGTAAATTGCATGTAGCAGAACCTATAAGTACATAGTACGGGGGGCAACAATTTTAACCAGTGGTTGCGAGGGTACTGATGGTGGGGGGGAAGAATAAGGAGGGCCGCGTTGAGAGGAAAGCGAATGCCACCGTTGAGGGGGCGAGGGAGCAGGATGGGACACGACTTGCTCTACGCCCACCTGCCCCTCGCCCCACCCTTGCTCTACGCAATACCAGCCGACTACAGCACAAGGTGCTGGGGGAGGTATTGACGACGCAAAGGGTGGTGAAGGGTTATGCAGCGGACCAAGGAGCAGCATGAGACGCCCCTTGTGCTGCTGATGCCTGGGGCAGTGGGCGTGAAAAGGGATCACAACAGACGCGCCTTGCCTGGCTGGCAGCACGCAGCCCCACCCTGTTCTGCACCCTCTCCACCCACGCCTCACCACGATCACTGCCCAATGCCTTCTATCCCTCACGCTGGAGTCACTTTTGACAAATCATAGAAATGTCGCATGCTGGTACCTTTTATGCATAAAGGGGTACTTTTTCCCAATCCAGGAGAGCCCAATCCAGGAGAGGCCAATCCAGGAGAGGCCAATCCAGAAGAGCCCAATTCAGGAGAGCCCAATCCAGGAGAGGCCAATCCCAAGGCGCTTCACGGGAACCTGATGATGGCATTCCAGCATGCCAAAAACGTGGCTCACCAGGTCGAATCGCAGGTGCATCGCCAGAAACCTCCTCCTCCTCATCTGCTGCCCGCTCTCCACTGCCATCTCGTTCCCCACCCATCTCCCCTTCAACCCCCCACCCGTCCCTTTCCTCCACCGCATTCTCCTCATGGCCGCCCCAACCATCCTCTGCACTCCTTTTACCACCCACATCACCCCCTCTCTTTCCTTTCGCACTGATTCCCTTCCCTCATCCCTCCACCCCTTCCCTTCCCTCCCCTCCCTCACCTCCCTCCCTTCCCTCGCCTCCCTCGCCTCCCTCCCTTCTCTCACCTCACTCCCCTCGCCCCTCAACCGCTGCAAGTGTTTCCACTCGCCCCACGTGGCGCCAATGCTCGCCAGCCGCATGCCCTCCGCCCACTGCTCCAGTCGTGCCCGCACGCGCTGCTCTATGCGCACCCGCACCTCCCTCACCTCCCTCACTCGCTTCCTCACCGCCTCCCACCCCGAACCACTCCCGTCGCCCTCCTCTCTCGCCCTTTCTGTGCGAGGCCCTTCCAGTACAAGCCCCTCCTTCTGCTCTCCTACCCACGCAACGCCTCCCCTTTCCTCATCCTCCTCTGCTTCGTCCCCCTCTGCTTCATCCCCCCCCCATCGTTCCCCTCTGCTGCATCCCTGCTCCCCCGCACATCGCCCCCCACCACTCTCACGTGCCCCATCGCCTCCAGCAACCGCCGGCGTCTGTAGCCCCCCAGCAGTCCGCTCTCACTCGCCCCATCCCCACTCGCCACGCGCTCAATCCCCACACTCTCCCCCTCTGCACCGCCCCTCCATGCATCCTCCCTCCCCTCATAATCCCACTCAAAGTCGCTTCCCCTGTATGCTAACCGCCCATTGCCCTCCTCCCCCGCACCTCCTTCCAGCTCCCGCTCCCACCAGCTGCTGCTAACTCTCCCCACCCCCTCACTCCCGTTCAGCTCCTTTTCTCCCTCCCTTCCCTTCTCCTCACTCACATCCCCCTCCTCTCCATGCTCCGATCCTCTCTCCCTCGCCTCCCACCACAGCAGTTCCTCCACCCCCTCCCTCTCACTGCCTCCCGTCCCCCCCTTCTCACTCCCATCATCCCTCACACCCCTCTCCTCTCCATGCTCCAATCCCTTCTCCCTCTCCTCCTCACTCCCATCATCACTCCCATCCCCCTGCCTTCCATGCTCTGATCGCGCTCCCCTCGCCTCCCACCACAGCAGTTCCTCCAGCGCCTCCCCACTGCCTCCCTTCCCCACCTCCTCCCCTCCCAACTCCTCAACCCCCTCCTCTCCCTCTTCCTCCCTCCCTCCACCCTCGCTCACACCAACTCCTTCTCCTCCCACTCCTCTCTCCCCCTCCGCTCCTCCCTCTCCACCCATGTCTTCTCGCTCCCCTTCATCCCCAACAAGCTCCACTCGGATCCCTCGCTCCTCTTCGCTCTCTCCCCCTCCCTCCTCTCCTCCTCCTCCAACCTCATTCTCTCCCCCTTCCGCTCTCCCTCCCTCGTCCTCTCTTCCTCCTCCCTTCCTCCCTCGGCCCACCATCTCAGAATCACTCGTATCAGCAGAAAGCGGCGGTGCAACTCCCCAACTCCCCTCCGCACCCTCGTCCCAATCGCCTCCCCCCTCCTCTCTTCCGCCTCTCGCCCTCCCTCTATCCTCCACCCCAGCAGCACTCGTGCTGTCAAAAGGTGAGTGGGGAAGTCCCATACGGGTGGGGCGCAGGGAGGGGTCCTGCAGTCGCTGCACCAGCTTCTGGCTGGAAGGGGGGAGACGGAGGGGTAAGGGAAGGGGAGGCGAGTGAAAGGGAGGGGAGGAGAGTGGGGGGGGGAGTGGAAGGGGATCAGATCCCTATCCTGCACGTGGCACGAGAGGGTTCCGTCCTGCAACCGCTGCACCAGCTTGTGCCTGAAGTGGGGGAGACAGACGGGGGAAGGTTACAAGGGAGAGTGGGAGGCAAGGGAGTAGGGAGGGAGGGGTCATGCAGTCGCTGCGCCAGCTTGTGCCTCAAGGGGGGAGACAGAGAGGTAAGGAAAGGGGAGACGGGGGAGTGAGAAGCAAAGGCTGCCGTGTGGGCTTTGGGTGGGGCGTGGGATTGGGTTCAGCAGTCGCTGCACTAGATTGTGCCTGGAGGGCGGGAGACAGAGAGGGCAGGAAAGAAGCACATATTCGAGGAGGTGACAGACATGACGGCAAAAAGCGGCTGAAGGGAGGGCTTTTGAGGCGCCTCAAAAATGGTCTGAGAGGACAGGAAAGAAGCACATAGTCGAGGAGACGTCAGACATGATGGCGCAACGGGGGGCGGTTGAAGGGAGGAGGGACAGTGGGGTGGGAGGCAGGGCTGCGAAAGCAACTATGCTTGGCTGCTTGGCTGAAAATGGAACTTGCGAAGGTGCTTGGCTGCTTGACCAATGCTGCTGACAATAAAAGCCACACTCTGCAAGCATGCTGCCTAAATAAAGCATTATATCATACATATCCTAAATAGCTTACTCATTCATGTTGTCGATCAAACAGGTCAACCACCACTTTGATGGGTGCTGATTGGCTGCACTCACCCCAGCTCTCTGATTGGCTGCACGAATCGCAGCGCATGGAAGTTGACGCGGCACCGCAGCCGTTGGATCTCCCGAGGCAGACCCGTGAAGGCGAGGCGATGGGAGAAGGGTGTCAGTGCCACGATGCCTCGCCTGGGGGGCAGAATGGAAGATGGAGGGGGAGATAGATGGGGAAAAGAGGCGAGGGGATTTGAACAGTGAGGAAGTGTGGTGCGTGAAGTGCAGGAAACCTACAGTGAGGGAGGCGTGCAGTGGGGGGGGGGGGAGGGGGGGGCGTGCAGTGGGGGGGTGGTGCAGTGACAAAGAGACAGTGCGAGAAGGGCATCAGGGCTACAATGCCTCGCCTTGGGGGATAGAGCGGCAGACAGGACACGGGATGGGAGAGAGGGTTGAGGAGAGGAAAAGCGCGTGAGTGCAGGGAGGGGCAAGCGATGAAGGCGAGGCCATACAGGAGGGATGTGGGAGACACTGCAAAGGGGGGTCCTCTGAGGGAACTCACTGCATCCGCCGTGGCAGCACGCGCTTCATGTACCACTTGCTGCTGGCGTTCACAGCACAGCCATGGGCTGGCTGGGTACCCCCAGCACAGGCGAGCGGCTGCCAACATAACGTGCCGGGTTGCCAGCACTCGCTGCTTAAGCCGTGGCAACACACGCTTGCGGTGCCACTTGCTGGTCGCATGCAGGGGCGCAGAGCTCGTGGCTGTGGTACCACACGTGGAGAGGCTAATGTGACGGGACAGAGAGTGCTGATACCACACGGGACAGAGAGTGCTGATACCACACGGGACAGAGAGTGCTGATACCACACGGGACAGAGAGTGCTGATACCACACGGGACAGAGAGTGCTGATACCACACGGGACAGAGAGTGCTGATACCACACGGGACAGAGAGTGCTGATACCACACGGGACAGAGAGTGCTGATACCACACGGGACAGAGAGTGCTGATACCACACGGGACAGAGAGTGCTGATACCACACGGGACAGAGAGTGCTGATACCACACGGGACAGAGAGTGCTGATACCACACGGGACAGAGAGTGCTGATACCACACGGGACAGAGAGTGCTGATACCACACGGGACAGAGAGTGCTGATACCACACGGGACAGAGAGTGCTGATACCACACGGGACAGAGAGTGCTGATACCACACGGGACAGAGAGTGCTGATACCACACGGGACAGAGAGTGCTGATACCACACGGGACAGAGAGTGCTGATACCACACGGGACAGAGGGTGCTGATACCACACGGGACAGAGAGTGCTGATACCACACGGGACAGAGGGTGCTGATACCACACGGGACAGAGGGTGCTGATACCAGCGATTGCAACGGTGCAGCACAGCACTCACTGTTTAAGTCGCGGCAGCACGCGCTTCAAGTACCACTTCTTGGTGGCGTGCAGGGGCGCAGAGCGGATGAGCTTGTTGCGGCGGGAGGGCGAGGAGGCGTAGTAGGCTGCCGTGCTCCAGGCGAGGTGGCGGGGGAGATGACGCACTATTCGAATGTCAGCTTGTAGGGAGGTGATGAAATGGGGCAGGTCGAATATGTCTGAGAATTGACTGGGGGGATGACGGGGGAGGACGAATGGGGGGAGGAAAGCGCGGAGATGGAAAACGAAAGGGGAAGGGTGAGGTGGGTAACGGTGGTTAGCGGTTTTGCACGCAAGGAGGCGTCAGTAGTTCGGTAGTAGCGTTGGTGAGGTGGCTTGCGAGGTGGAGGGGGAGATGACGAGCTACGGGGATGTCCCCTTGCAGGCAGGACGAATATGTCCTCGAATTGACTGGTGGGAGAGGGGGAGAGGAGGAATGGGGAAAGGAAGGGAAGAGCTGGATAGAGAAAGCCAGAGGGCGAGGAGAAGTAGTGGGCTGCCGTGCTGCACGTGAAGTGGGGAGGACAACCGCGCGGCGCATAATGTGGGTGTCCACAGAGTGACTGGAGAGGGGGGGAAGTGCGCATGGGAACAAGGAAGAGAGGGTTTGGAGACAAGCGACTGGCTGGACTCAAGGGAGGGAGGGCGTGGAGAAAGGAATAGAGAAGCTGGATACGGGAAGAGAGAGAGAGTGGAAGCGTTGTAGGTGCGGATGCTGCATGCGGGGTGGTGGGCTGAGATGCAGTTTGATGACGGATGTGATCTAAAGGGATGCGATCAATAGGGGCAGATCACATCGCCAAATGAGTGGCAGGAGGGGAGAGGGAGGAAGAAGCGAGTGAGCTCCCACCTGCCACTTTGTGTGCCGCCCACCTGCCACCCTCTGTGTGCCGCCCACCTGCCACCCTCTGTGTGCCGCCCACCTGCCACCCTCTGTGCCTCCCACCTGGAGTCCTGCCAAAAGATGTTGGTGGCGAACTCAGGCACGAGCAGCGTGGCGTTGAGCAGGCGAGCCACGGCCACCGCGTTGCACACCTGGTGGGGGGGCAAGGGGGAAAGGGAGGAAGGAGGTGGGGAGGATGAAGAGAGGGAGGATGCAGCCCGACCACAGCCACTGCATTGCACATCTGGTGAGCGGCCAAGGGGGACGGAAGGGGGTGGGACGGAAAGATGGGGAGGGAGGTCAGCGGCGTTAAGTGCCACTGTGGCCTTGTGGGAGGTCGGCAGAGAAATGGGAAGGTGCAGTGCAGGTGGGTGGGTGGCATGAGAGGCAAAGAGCCAGCAGGTGAATGTGCGTGGCAGGGATAACCAACCAACGCACTGACCCCAGGCAGTTTACTCACGGCCAGCGAGCAGTGTGCTGTGACAAGACTATGGCACCCACCCACTCACGCTGATGCGCTGCTGGTTGAGCCCTCCGTCCAGAAACACCTGCAGATAGCCGTTCGACTCCGGCAGTGGCGCCTCTGAGTGGGGATTGAGGGGTCAGACACAAGGAGAAACGGAGGGATATGAGGTACGGGGCGGAGGGGTTAGTTCTGAAAAGTGAGGGAGAAGGACGAGGGGGTGTGTAAAAAGGGCTATCAAAATTGAGTGGGAAGAGTGCGTGAGATGAGAGGCGGTTGGAGGAAAGAGGGAGGGAGAGAAGGGCCGAGAGAAGAGGGAGGAGAGGAGGGTGAGAAAAGGGGAGGGGGATACACATGAAGGGTTGATAGTGATATGCATGAAGGAGGGAAGGCGACGAGGATGCAGAGCAGATGAGAAGTTAGATGGCATAACCTCCCCATTCTCGTCTCTTGTCTCGTCCAGTCAAGGCAGCCACACTGTAACCATTCTTGCCGCCACGGCTTGCAGTGCTGAGAGACTCAATGCACGGTGGAACTCCAACCACCTTTTCCACCTGCCCTGCCTTGCAACCACCATCTCACATGCCGTCCTCTCATTCCCACCCCTCCCAATCTCTCTCTAACCCCCCAAACACTCTCTGCCTGGCCTACCACCTTTGCACCATCACCCCCGCGTCTCCACGCCCTCTCACCCAACAGAGGCCCACAAACCTCCTCGCAGCGCAGCGCAGCAAGCTCTGCCCCCTGCCTGCCCGCCTCCAACTCACCGCGATATTTCTTGGAAGGTGCGTCGCACTGCCTCCACTCGTCCTGCTGAACGGGGCCCCACAGCCCCTCCGGTTCCTCCTCCTCGTGTTGCTGCTGCTGGCAGACACACAACAACGAGAGGCATCGCAAAACGACTTTTGAGTGAGCGAACAAGTCACTTCATTGCCTCCACTCGTCCTGCTGCACCCTTCCCCACAGCCCCTCGGGCTCCTCTTCCTCCTGTTGCTCCTCCTGCTGCGGGATGATTGCAGGGGGTGAGCATTCAGTCAGTCAAGAAGCACGTGGGCAGTCAAGAAGCACGTGGGCAGTCAAGAGGCACGTGGGCAGTCAAGAGGCACGTGGGCAGTCAAGAAGCACGTGGGCAGTCAAGAAGCACGTGGGCAGTCAAGAAGCACGTGGGCAGTCAAGAAGCACGTGGGCAGTCAAGAAGCAACCACGTGGGCAGTAACGCTGCACATGGGCAGTGAAGAAGCACATGGGAAGTACACACACATTAGTACTAACCGGCAGGGGAAGAAGGCCATAGTGGAGGCAGTGCAGTTGAAAATCTTCCGCCTGCCACCACCCTGACTCGCTTCATCCACCCACCAGCACCCACCAGCACCCGCCAACACGCACGCAGCACTCACAGCGAGCAGGAGTGCTTGCAGCAGGTCAGGGTGGTCCGCCATGTACCCTAAGCTCTCTGCCTGCCCACCAGCACGCAGCACGCAGCAGCAGCACTCGCCAGCATGCAGCAGCGTGCAGCACTAAAAGCGAGCAGCAGCGCGTGCAGCAGGTCAGGGTGGTCTGCCATGTACCCCAGGCTCGCTGCTTCCCCTCCACCATCGCCCCGCCCCTCTTCCCCGATCCTCCCCCCATCAGCGAAATCTCCTTCCTCTCCGCTCGCCTCCGCCTCCCCCCTTCCCCTTCCGCCTCTGCTTCCCCCTCCCCCTCCCACCGTCACCACCTTCACCGTTGCGCCGCCCCCTGCGCGCATCACCTGCAGCAGCTCCAGCTCCTGCGGGCGCGCATGGGGGGACAGGGGCGGGGGAGGGGAAGGTGAGCAAGGGGAGAAAATAAAGGGGAAAGCCCACCCCCCTGCGCGCATCATCTGCAACAGCTCCAGCTTCTGTTTTCGGGCCTGGGGGGAGGTGGCGGAGAGGGGGAAGGTGAGCACGGGGGAAAAAGAAGGAAGAAAGCCTACCCTTGCGGCAACCTGCAGCAACTCCAGCTCCAGCAGGCGCGCATGGGGGGAGGTACGGGCGGAGACTTAAAACGTTGGAGGAGGAGATGTGAGGATGGGGGAGGGAAGGGGAAAGGTTTTCTCCCCTGCGCGCATCATCTGCAGCAGCTCCAGCTCTTGTGATCGCGCATGAGGGAAGGTACTGGCGGAAATTTGAACGTGGGATGAGGTTTCCCCATCTGCGCGCATCATCTGCAGCAGGGCGCGCATGGGGGGGCGCTCCTGGTTGGGTGACGGCAAGGTGAGAAAGGGGATAGGGAAGGAGGGGGAAGAGGGGGGGCGGGGAAAGGAAAGGGGGATGGGGGGTGGGGCGTGCGCGCGTCTTTCACAGCAGCTCTATAGCTCGTGGGGACGCGCGTGGGGGCAGCAAGGGGCGGGGGGGGCCGCGGAGGCGGAAGGGGCGTGGAAACGAGGAGTTGGCGGAAATAGAGGAGAAAAAATTCTTCAGGAGTCCTCCTACTACGTAGGAAACATCCAGCAGCGGCGCTGTGGCGTGCTCGTCCGCGTACCTCCTTGCTTAGCGGCAGGGTCGCTGGCGCGCAGTGCGGGCGCATGAGGCACGCGTAAGCGGCGGAGACGACGCCGAGCAGCAGCAGCGCCAGCCGCAGCGACGGTATCACCCTCCGCTTCTGCCGCTGTTTCGTCGCGTGCTTCGATTTGTGCGGAACCGATAACGCACCCATGGCTCGAAAAATCTCCGCGTGAGAGCAGAAAACACTGCTACTCAACCGGAACAACTGCCGCTATTATGGTATTTGCATACGCATTGATGGAACTGATTATAATTTAAAATCGGTCCGAGCCAGTTTGATTGCCTCGCTCAAAGTAGTACACCACCAGGCTGGCGGGAAGCTTGCTGGTGTTTGCGAGGCCAGCTTGCGAGCTTTCGAAGCTGCGGAACGATCACCCGCTGAATTGGCGAACGACGAAGAGTGCTGCCGTAAGAGTGCCTGCAGCTGCCGGCTGCTAAAATGCTGCTGCGCGGGAAGGTCGGAGGGAGGCGCGACTGCCAGTGGGTGCTCTGCTCCGAAAACCACGGTTGCTCCGAAACTCGTCAGCCAGTGGGGGTCAGTGGGGTCACGAGAAGGTTGCTTTGCTTCTGAGGACGCGGTTAAAGTGATGGTTCGGGAGGAGATCGATCCGGTCACCGTACTGAAACCCCGCGTTTTGCATCAGTAAGATACAAAACCGTTTACAACCGCGCAAAAAAACGACCCTGAGGCGATCGATTCTCCGGGTTAGAGGCCCTCATTGAAAGAGGTCCTTTTCCCCCCTGAGTAGAATTTTCCGACGCCTAGGTTTGGCCCGACCTCTATAGTCCCTTTTTTGGCGGGAAAATTTGCATCTTGACTGAATCATTGCGCGAATCAGCTCGGCAGCCAATCAGAGGGCCCAGATCGAACTTTACCAACATTCAGGGAAAATGATGACGAAGGGATCATCAGTTAGATTTTTTTACCTTTTATTGAAATTAATTGTTTCTCATGACCGTGCTTACTTCTCAATCCTATCGCGCGGTCCCCAGCGTGCTCGATGATGACATCGAATTTATCTAGCTTACAGGGTAAAACAAAAGTACCTTCTAGTCATGCCCTAAGCCATAATTGATTTTGTTTCTTTTGCCCGTCAGTCTTGCGACATTGATCAACGCGAGGAATCGCGCGACGAGAAGTTGAAGCAAGCGCGGTCCGAATCCGCGTAAAAGACCAAAAAACAAAAACTAGTAGCAAACAAAACCGTTTTTCATGTAGTTTTCCTGGACAGGACAATAATAATATCGTTTTGCCAGGGGTTTGAAGGTTTTCGCACATAGTCCGCGCGTGGCGTTGTCATTCCGTCTGACTATAAACAAAAAACATTTGTACACACCTACTGTAGCCAATCTTTTTCGGCTGGTCTGTGATGGCATGTGATGTGATCTGTCACTGACGAGACGCACATTGCTGGTTTCCAAAACTGACGAGCCGCCAGCTGCCAGTTCCCAGACAATTGAATTAACCTATTTCACTCACTATCTCCAATACATAGTTTATCAAAATTTCACAATCATTATGGTTTTCTAAATCCCCAGATATACACAAAGGGCATGTAAAATAACGCAGTAACCCACCCACCGTCATCTGGAGCATTGCGCTTGCGCCTATATCCGATCACCACAAATACGGTAGGTAAGCCCACCCTAAGTTCAGATTCGCGTTCGCTTAAAAAACAGACCCAAAACTCAAACAGTGGCGCCTGCATGTTTGAGATTATTACCCCCTTGAAGCAAGTAATACCCGCATCCAAGCTCGTCGTCTGCTCGGTGACACATTATATACGACCAACATAGCATGTATCCCACAAAGATCTCTCCAGGAAAAGGATTAAGGCGCTGCCAGCTCCCACCCTAATTCACCCCATGCTGCCACCAATGCGGCTCACTGGGACCAAGTTAAAAAGGTTCGGCTGTTGGTTCGGGCCGGATCTGGCAACTCCCCCATTTCCAGCACCCCATCCTCAGGCACGGACGAGGTGATTCGGTTTAGGGAGCCTGATGCAGAGGAGAGGGCTGCTCGCACGTCATTGGTTCCTTGTTTCGAGGGAGATGTAAGATCAGCCACTGCTGCAGCGGCGTTGAGGGCGAGGCGGGCATCCTTGCCGCCCTTGAAGGAGATGTCCTGAAGGGAGGCAGCGCATAGGGAGCAGGGGCGGATTGGCACATGCAGTGGAGATAAGGGAAGTGAATGCATGCAATGAGCAGCCGAGTCGGGCATCCTTGCCGCCCTTGAAGGAGATGTCATGCAGGCAGGGAGCAGCAGAGGCGGGAGCGGCAGGGTGGGTTGGAACGTGCAGGGCGGACACAGGAAAGGTGAGGGGATGGACGGGAGAAGCATGAGGGACGAAGGGGATGTTAGTGAAGGGAGAAGGGCAGCAAACAGTTGAATTGGAGGCAGATAGCAGACTGCCATGCATATACGGATTGTCGAGTGCAGCATGCGAATACAAGCGTGCAGCTTGCACTACAGCACATAGTCGCACACACGCACATGGTTCCATGTGAGGTTGCTCTTGGCATGCCTGGTGCGCGCCTCATGCCTGGTGCTCGCCTCATGCCTGGTGCGCGCCTCATGCCTGGTGCTCGCCTCATGCCTGGTGCGCGCCTCATGGTTGAAGAAGAACACCACCACTGTGATGCTGTCGTGCTACTCCCCCTGGCACACCTCTTCCTCCCTCCCTCCCTGCTTCCCACCCTCCCCTCCCCTCCCCTCCCTTACATGGTTCTAGGTGAAGTTGCTCTTGGCGTGCTTATTCCGTGTTTCATGGTTGAAGAAGAACACCACCACTGTGATGCTGTCGTGCTACTCCCCCTGGCACACCTCTTCCTCCCTCCCTCCCTGCTTCCCACCCTCCCCTCCCCTCCCCTCCCTTACATGGTTCCAGGTGAAGTTGCTCTTGGCGTGCTTATTCCGTGTTTCATGGTTGAAGAAGAACACCACCACTGTGATGCTGTCGTGCTACTCCCCCTGGCACACCCCTTCCCTCTTCCCCTAGCTGCGTCCCTCAGCCCCCCTTGCACATGGTTCCAGGTCATGTTGTTGCTCTTGGCGTGCTTATTCCGCGCCTCGTGGTTAAAGAAGAACACCACCACAGTGATGTCATCGTGGTACTCCCGCTGCTGCCCACTCGCCATGCGCAGCAGGTCCTGGTACCGGATCTCCCGCCTCTCCGCCGCCCGCCGTAGCACCGCCCGAATCAGCTGCTGAGCTATGTCCTGCCAAGGAAAGGGGAGGGGGAGGGGGAGGGGGAGGGTGGAGGGGAGAGGGAGTAGAAGAGCGCAAACAGGGGTGATGAAGGAGGCTTGGAGCGCCCCTCGCTATTAGCACAGCAGCAACTCACCTCTCGTGTGCTGCTTGCAACGATGTCCATAACCAGCAGGCTGTTAATAACATCTTCAACGCTCTGCACCCTACTTGACCGGAGCGACTACCAGCCAGCACAACACCTCACCTTCCTGGGGCTGCTGGCGACGATATCAACAGCTTCCTGATTGTTGATGAACTCAAAGAGCCCATCGGAAGCGAGGATGACAGCACAGCCCATCTGCACTGGACTCGACCACAGCTACTACCGCTCTGCACCGCACTCGCCCTCACCTTGCGGGGGCTGCTGGCAACGATATCGACAGCCTCCTGGTTGCTGATGAACTCAAAGAGCCCATCGGAGGCGAGGATGACGAAGGAGTCGTGCGGCGACAGCACGCGCACTGCGATGTTGGGCTCACACGACAGGAGAGGCGGGTGGAAGGGCTCGGGCACCCGGAAGCGCGAGAAGAGCGGCTCTCGGTTGAACTCGTGGGACTTGAGATACAGGTCGCCAAAGGACCGCGTGACCTGGAGGAGGGGGGGCAGTGGGGGGGAGGGGAGGGAGGAAGGGAAGGGGCATGGATCCGCCTTGCACCTGTGACGGGCACAGAGGCAGTTTTTTCTATGGTGCGATGTTGGGCTCGCAGGAGAGCAGAGGCGGGTGGAAGGGGTCGGGCACTTGAAAGCGCGAGAAGAGCGGCTCTCGGTTGAACTCGTGGGACTTCAAATACAGGTCTCCGAAGGAGCGGGTGACCTGCAGGGGAGGAAGGGGAGAGTACACAGGAGGGAGGGAGGGAGAGAGGGAGGAGGGAGGGGAGGAGGGAAGGAGGGGAGGGCTCAGCCCTTGCCCGTATGGCTGAGCCTTGCACTTGTGGTGAGCTGGGCACTTGTGGTGAGCTGGGCACTTGTGGTGAGCTGGGCACTTGTGGTGAGCTGGGCACTTGTGGTGAGCTGGGCACTTGTGGTGAGCTGGGCACTTGTGGTGCCTTCAAGGTGCAATGCAGGGCAGCATGACAACAGTAGCGGGTTGGAAAGGCTCCGGCACATGGCCGCGAGAGAAGAGTGGTTCGCACATCTCCTTGCACTGGTGGCGGGCATAACAGTGACCTCTTGCTGCACTTGCTTCTTCTCTCTCTGCTGCACTCACCGTCACTTTACCCTTGACTCGGAATCCTCCGCACTTCTCCACCACAGCATCGGACATGTCAGCATGCTCCTCAATGAACAAGAATGCTACCCTCCTTGCTCGCTCGCACAATGATTATCCCTTCGCACTTCCCTCTCACTTTGCGCTCAACTCACCGTCACTTTGCCCTTCACGCGGAACCCCCCGCGCTTCTCCACAACAGCATCGGGCGTGTCAGCATGCTCCTCAATGAACTTCTCTCGGATGGAAGTGAAGGACAGGTTGTGGTCCACTGACAGCTGTAGAGTGCGGCACTCCAGTGAGTTGTCGTCTCCCTTGCGCACCTGGTGGGCGGAGGAGGGGAAGGGGGGAAGAGGGAGGGAGGAGGGGAGGAAGGCAGGGGCATGTCGTCATGTCCGCATGTCAGCATGCTCCTCGATGTACGGATGGAAGCGAAGGACAGGTTGTGATCCACTGATAGCTGTAGCGCCCGGCACTCCATCGAGTTGTCGTCTCCCTTGCGCACCTGGTGGAGGGAGGGGGGGCAGGTGGGAGCGGAGAAGAGATACGGGTGCTGCAGAGTGAGAAGACAGCTGTTTTTCTTTCCGGCCCGCAGTCACTGGCTGCAGCGCACGGCACTCCACCAAGTTGCCGTCTCCCTTGCGCCCTGCACCAAAGTAGTTGTGCTGCTCACACCAAAGCAGAGGTAGCTTCTTGTGAGAGGCGAGGCTAAATCCACAACTCCGTGAGAACCTGATGGGTGGCGGTGGAGGGAGGGAGGAAGGGGTGTGGGGTGAGAAAAGTGCTTCGAGGGAGGGAGATTAAGGCTGCAGCGTGTAAGAAGAGCTCCTTGCTTTTTACCCCCATCAAGTTCATTAGCAAGATCTTTACTGAGAACTCTTTTCCTTTTGAACTTTTTCATAAGCACTACAGTTGTTTCCGCCTCCCACATCCCACCTGCCTCACTTCCCACCTCCCCTCACATCCCACCTCCCCTCACATTTCACCTGCCCCAGCACGGCCCTGCAGTCGCCCACATTGGCCACCCAGAGGGCATTCCCAGTGACCACAGCCACCACACTGCACGACCCCACCGTTGCTAGATGGGGGCTCGCTTCAAATGACTGCCGCACCACCTGCAGGTGACGAGGGGTGCAATGGGTGAAAGTGGTGCAGAGAGGTGCACAGAGGTGCACAGAGTGCACGCGTTTCATTCGCTTTGGGAGAGACGAACGGGGAAATTCCAGTGACGAGGGGTGCACAAGGTATGAGTTGCTTCGGATTTCAGTCTAACGGGGCATTCCCAGTCACCACTGCCGCCCCGCTTCATGATCCCACCATTGCCACATGGGGGCTTGCTTCAAATGACTGCCGCACCACCTGCAGGTGAAGACTGGTGACGAGGGGTGCACACAGGTGGGGGAGGGTTGCAAATGGGTGCCTGTTTTGTTCACTTTGGGGAAGAAGTTGGGAGGTGGGGTGGAGGTGGCAGTCGGCAAGGGGATGTGGTGTGTGAGGGGTTGGAAGGGCATGGTTTGAGAGAAAGAGCAAGGAAGACAGTTGGCCGGTGTAAAAGACACAAGAGAGCACAATCCAGGCACAACACGCAACTTCTGGGTGTAAAAGCCCGTACCTGGGTGAACGCTTCGTGGAAAGCTCCTCGCACTGCCTCTGCTGACACCTGCCCGCCCTGATGCATGAATTGCGCTGCACAGCCACAACAAACAGGGAAGACACAAGATACTTTTTGGGGCACCCCAGCACAACTGCAATGTTGGAGCCAGACAGACTCAGCACCCTGAAGAGGCACAGACCAGTTCAAGCATATCATGCATTGAACAACATATTTCCAATACATGTTACGTTCATCCCCGTCCTTTTCACCGCCACGAGAGTCACTTCTTTCCCACCCCGGAGATTCGTTACGGTGGGTGCCACAAAGGCCATTCAATCAAATCCTCCTGACCTTTGAGGTTAAAGTAAAGATTCTCCTTCAGAAACTCCGAAGTCTCGGTGCCGCCATGCCCATCGTGCACGCCAATGTAAACCCCGCTGCTGCTGCCCTCCACCTCAGCCGTGTCCTCCATCACATAGTTCGCCTCATACATGGCCAGTGAGAACTGCCCGTACGGGGTATTATCCAGCGCCCTGTGCCACACGTCCCGCTTCTGCCCAAACGCCTCTGCGGGACCACCTGGGCGGCCCCAGCGCTTGGGGTTGAGCATGCGCACGATGGGCTCCAGCACACCCGGCATGCGGTGGTGCATGGACCGCCCGGTGAGGAAGCGCCGCCCGCCGTACTGGCTGTCCTCCATGTCAAACTCCTCGCCCTCGTCTTCTCCCCCGTGGAAGGCCACATCCAAACCAACCTGCAGTGGAGGAGGGGCGGGGCGAGGGGATGCGAAGAAGAAACATGAGTTACCACTCCCGCCGTACTGGCTGTCCTCCATGTCGAATTCCTTGCTCTCGTCCTCTCCTCCATGAAACGCCACATCCAGGCCGACTTGCGGCGGGGGAGGGGAGACGGGGAAGTTAGAATGTACATGCAGTAGTTGGAAGGGTTGGCTGGCACTCCTCCTGCCGTAGTGGCTGCCCTCCTTGTCCAGCTCCTCCCCCCCCCGGTGGAAGACAACATCAAGGGCGACCTGCGGCGAGGAGGAAGAGGGTGCATGGGAGCACGGGGAGGAGAGGGAGGGGGAGGAGGTAGATAAACGCAACACCTTAACTGGGACTAATGCCGTACTGGCTGCCCTGCCCTGCATCACAAACTCCTCTCCTCTCCCTGGTCCTCCCCGCCGTAAAATGCAATATCCAGGCTGATCTGCGGCTGGGAGGGGATGCGGAGGGGGGGTTGGGGGGAGGAGGTTGGAAGGAGGGGTGAAGAGGAGGGGAGGAGGGAAGGGTTGTAGAAAATTGCAATGCTTCAGTGAATGGAGATGCAACTGACTGGTCTGGGCGACGGGCGGGCCGTCGACCAGGAGGTGTAGTTCGACCGGGAGGTCGACGGAGCAGTCCGTCGACCTGACAAGTGAGCAGCGGTCGACGAGGGGAGCTTGGCGATAACCGCTGACAGTTCTGGTCGACGGAAGGGGTCCGTCGACCAGGGGGTAGCTCGACGGAAGCTATGGTTGACCAGGGCCACCTGGTGGTCGACCGGAGGCACTGGTGGTCGACCAGAGCACCTGGTGGTGTCCAGGTCGACCGGGTAACCTGCTCGACGAGTTCTGCGGAGGCACGCGAACGTCGTCGAGGTCGCGATGGCGAAGGCGACTTTGGGCTGGTATCCCGAAGTCGATGTGGCTCGTCAGGCGCAGACAACTGCTGATGGATGCACAACGATGCAGGTAGGGCCAATCGTCTGCACGCACCTACGAGCATGCGCACTGCTGCCATCTACGGGTGCAACGCTGGACAGCCGCACTGCTGCAGTGTTGGCACGCGGTCGACGTGCTGCGTTGGCAGGTCGCCCTTCTGCAGTGCTGGCGTGGCTCCTCTACGCAACGCTGGCAGGCGGTCGACCAAGCTGTGCTGGCGGTCGACCAGGCTAGCTGCAGGGTTGCTAGGTGCCTGATGTAGTCATTTCTGTCATTGCTTGTTCTATCATTCTGTAATTCCAACTTTGCTAGTGGAAACTCTTGCCAAATTCTCCCGTGAATGTGCAAGCACTAAGGAACTAAGCAAAGCTACAATCACTCCTAGTAGTTCGTGCCAACCCCCTTGGTCTAGCTCACTACCGTTGTAGAGTGAATATCCGCATGATGTGGTGAGCGTGGACGGCCCCGCAGATTACCTTCAGATAGGAGCCGAATTTTGCACCTACTAAGTCGTTCGTAGGCCGGCAGCCACGTTAGTCGCCATGGTCGACCCCGTTGTAGAAGCGGGCGTAGCGGACACCTTGGAGGCACGCTTGGCTGATGCGAGGAGACGCCACGCGGATGGCGAGTACGGGACGATCCCCTTGACGATCGTCGAGTTGGGCATCCGGGCGCAGTGGGCGACGGATCACCCTTCCCGTCCTGCATCTCCTCGACCGATGCGAAACGACGGTGGAGTCGACGACGAGGTCGACGGCGGTGCACGAGTCAGCGGTAGCGAAGGCACGAAGAAGAGAGGGGTGATTAAGGTCGACGCTGGAGTCAACGGGAGTCAGGCGCGAGTGCAACGGTCAACGGCAGCCGTAGGCAGCTCGCGGGTCAAAGTCGATGTTCGACGCCGCTCTCCTCTACGAAGCGGTGGAGGGCTCTCGGCGACGACGCACGTGACGGCGGGTGAGATTGCACCGGCGTATGGCTACTTCAAGTTCTCGCCGGACAGGATTACCGTCACACCTCTTCAAGGTCGACGGGACCTCATCACCTGGAGGGAGTCGATAGAACCTCAGCTGGAGGTCGCCGGGCTGAAAGGCTTTGCCGACGGCACCGTGCCTACTCCGCCCGAGGAGGACGTCGAGCTGCGCGGGGAGTTTCGTGCTGCTCACTTGCTCACCTTCATGGTCATCTCGAGGTGTTGCTCGCCGGTGGTGCAGCTAGCGCTCAGGAGCTGTCGAGAGCGACTGGATGCTGGTCACCAAGCATGGCACTTCATCCTGTCGACGTACCAGGTGAAGGACGACCTGTACATCGGACAGCTGGAGGAGAAGATGACACATCTTCGGATGGGCGAGCAGGAGTCGGCGACGGACTACTGCAACCGTGCTCGACGGATCCTAGCTGAGATGCGGATGGCGGGCGCCAAATACTCGACGACGTCCTACATCACCCACGTCGTCAAGGGTCTACCGCGCAGCTACAACCTCATGAAGCGGGTGATGATGGTGCCCGGCACGCGCGAATCCCTCGACGAGGACTCCATCACCAGCTACATCCTTCAAGATGAGGCTATGCAGGAGGCAGAGCAGCCCACGGAGCTCCTTCCGCAGGCGAGTTACGCTGCACCGACAAAGCCGAATCGTCAGCAGCAAGGGCAGCGCGGGAAGCCGGGCGGAGGTGGTAGCGGAGGTGGGCGGTCGACGAAGGTCGTCGACGAGAAGAATTCGACTCGCGATAAGGGCCGTAGAGGTGGTGGTCGAGAGCGGGAGTGCTGGATCTGCGGCATCCTCGACCATCTGTCCTTCGGGTGCCCCGACCGCAATGACAGTGATGAGGACGACAGCAAGGGAGGCCGCGGTCGATCGGCCAGTCGTCGCCCCCGTCGAGATGAGAAGCCGCGCAAGGAGAAGCAGACGTCGAAGAAGACGTCGTCGACGAAGGACGTCGACAGCTCCAGCGGCAAGGGCCGAGGCGACAGAGAGGCGTCATGCTCGATGGTCGGCGTGGTGGAGCCGACAGTCTCGCTGGCACCGGAGGCTGGCGAAGACTTCCAGGCGGTGGCGGCTGCTGTGCAGGCCAACCCGATGGCAGTGCTGCTCGACAGCGGATGCTCCCACCACCTGATGGGGACGAAGGCGGTCTTCGTCGACATGGCGCCGAGCGACAGTGTGCAGCATGTGCGCGGCTTCAATGGGGCGTTGCAGCCTGTCGAGGGTCGCGGCACCGTCGCCTTGCAAGGGGTTGCCGGAAAGAGGATCCTCATCCCCGACGTGCTCTACGTTCCGGGCGTCCAAGCGAACTTGTTGTCTGCTGGCCAGCTGAAGGAGAGCGGAGTGCAGCTGCAGGGCGACGGCGACGAGATGCTGCTCGTTGCCGCGACGGGGGAGGTGCTCGGTCGAGCACGCTACACCGGACGAGTCCTCTGCACCGACCTTCGCCCCTGCTCGACGCGGTCGCAGTCGCCCGAGGTGGTGGCTTTGCGGACGATCGTCTCGGCGACGGAGTTGTCTCCTGACCGGTTGCATGCGAGGCTTGCGCACGTTGGCATCGACATGATCAAGAGCTCGGCGAAGCATGAAGTTGCTACTGGGCTCGACATCAAGCCGTCGATTGGAGCAGACCCGCTGTGTGTCTCGTGCGTCGGAGGAAAGCTGGCGCGGCACACCTTCCCCGACAAGGGCTCGGACGCCGAGGAGGCACTGGCTGTCATGCACATTGACTTGTGCGGGCCATTTCGGGTGGCTGCCAAGGATGGCAGCTTGTACTTCCTGCTGCTGAAGGATCGCCACACTCGGCTCGTGTGGGCAATGCCGGTCGCTGAGAAGAGCGACGTGATGCAGGAGTTTCAGAAGTGGCTGGTGCTGGTGGAACGGCAGACGAAGAAGTCGGTGCTGTTGCTCCGCTCTGACTGGGGCGAGGAGTTCCTCGGAAAGGATTTCACCACCTTCGTCGACGGGAAGGGCATCGTCCACGACCTGACGTGCCCCTACACTCCGCAGCAGAACGGCATGGCAGAGCGGGAGATGCGCACGGTCGTCGAGTCCGTGCGGACGATGCTGCTGCACATGGGCGTGCAGCACCACTGGTGGCACCTCGCCCTTCGACAGGCTGTTTGGGTACGCAACTGCTTGGAGCGGTCGACGACGCCGCCAGGAACGATGCCGTACCAGCTGCTGACTGGGAAGAAGCCCGACCTCACGCTGGCGCGGGTGTGGGGCTGCATGGTGCAGTTCATGGTTCCCGAGCAGCAGCGCGGTGGGAAGCTGGCACCGAAGGCTCGCTGGGGGCTTCACCTGGGTGTGTCGCCGGAGAGCAAGGGCTGGGAGGTGCTCGACCTGACCGACAACAAGGTGGTCACGTCGGTCGAGGTGATCTTCTACGAGACGCTGTCGCTGGAGGTGTGGAAGACGAAGTATGGGCCGGCGTCGGGGCGGACGCAGGCACACCCGCCGACGGACACCTCGACGGCGACGGTCCCACTGCTCGCCGAAGTCGACGCGCCTGCTGATGAGGACGTTGTGGAGGTTCTTCCACCTCCCCCTGTCCTTGCTCCTCCCTCCCTCGTCGCAGATCGGCATGTGTCGACGCATGTGTCGGCCGCCGGCGATGAGGGGAGCCTTGAGGCGTCGCCTGTGGCGCCGGCCAGTGGCATCGCCGGCGGTCGACAAGGCGCCAAGCTCGTCAAGCAGGCAGGGGAGCCGGTTGAACAGGAGGCAGAAGTAGGGGTGCAGTCGACAGGGGAGCAGCAGCTGGGGCAATCGACAAGGGAGTTGTCGAAGTCAGCAGCAGGCGAGCAGCCGGTCGAAGGGTCGAAGCAGCTGGTCGACGACGAGGACGTCGACGAGGAAGGGGAGCAGTCGGCGGGTGAGGAGTCCACCGACAGCGATGTGGTGGAGGTGCCGATCACGAAGCCTTAGCTGCAACACACAGGTCGAGTTCGACGGCCGCCAGAGCGGCTGAGCTTCCACGCTTGCCTACCGCCAGCCGCCTTCACCACGGTGTACGAGGAGGTCGACGACGACCTGTTGTATGAGGACGCCGAGGAGGATGAAGAGCTGCCGGAGCTCGACCATGACGTGCATGCCGACCCCGAACACCGCTGGGACATCGCCAAGATGAGAGTGAAGGAGGCGCTGGCGAGCTGGAAGGGCGAGGCGGTGAAAGCCGCCATGGAGGAGGAGATCCGCAGCCTCATCAGCATGGGCACTTGGGAGCTGGTCGAACGCCCACACGGACTGAACATTATGAAGAACCGGTGGGTGTTGACGACCAAGTACCGCATCGACGACACCGTCGAGCGTGAGAAGGCGAGGCTGGTCGTGAAGGGCTTCATGCAGGTGTACGACGCCGACTACGACGAGACGTACTAGCCGATGAGCAGCTACGTCACGCTGAGGATCTTCCTCAGCATCGTCGCCGTCCTCGACCTCAACTTGATGCAGCTCGACATGAAG